GCCGATTATCGTTGGATTTGGGCGATTTCCGATTCTTCCATCGGTTTTAGGCGCCGCAGGCAAAATTTTTGAAAATTTGGTAGTTCCTTAAAACAAAAATCTTCTTTTTTCAGCGCCGCAGGCAAAAATTTTGAGAATTTCGAAGATCCTTAAGCCAAAAATCGTCTTTTTTTGCGCCGCAGAAAAAAATTTTTCCACTACAAATCCTCTTATATCCGCCGAACTCTCTTGATTTCCCGATATCCATCGAGATTCCCTGATGTCCTCTTTGATTTTCTGGTATATATCTATTTCCAATTACTACATTTTGATTGATAATTTAAAAATTTTAATTTATCGTTATTTGAATTAGAGGTGTAGAATGGAGAGATGGGGATTTTTGGGATTAACAGGGATTAGCTCCTTCGATTTCTCAGTGACTTGGGGTTATATCTAGGGATATAAACGGATTGGTGGAAACAGGACTTAACATTTTTAAGGTTTCTAATTAAAAAAAGTTTCACTTTGAGCGCCGCAGGCAAAATTTTCTTGAATTTCCAGTCCACGGAGAGAAAAATTTTCAATTTTTGCCCTAAAAATACGGTAAAAAATGACTAAAAATATCAAATTATTTTCGTCATTTTCGTCTAAAAATTGAGTTTACGAAACGAAAATGAAACGAAAATATTTTTTTAACGAAGTACGAAACGAAAAAAACGAAAAAAATATTTTCAAACGAAACACGAAACGAAACGAAAATCATCAAAAATCCACGAAAATCTACGAAACACGAAACGAAACGAAAATTTTCGGACAGCTCTGGTCACTATAGTATAGAAGCCAGTGAACGCGTCAGTCTAGTTGGATCATAATAGTGGGGCTAGTCACTGATCTCCGTCTGTTCAAGCTTCATTTCTACATCGGATAAACTGTTATTCTTGTGCACATCAACATCGGACAACTCTCGGACATAACCGGACAACCTCCGGTTGTAACAGTAATAACAAAAAAATTTTTGTCTGTCTCGCTGAAAATCAAAGTTTTTGGCCAAGACTGCACACTTTTAATCTTGGGGTTGCAGTCGTTGTCTAGAAACTTTTCAGTGTTTCACTACTTTAAAAAATATAATTTAAATTTTTTTTAGTTTTTCTTTTTTCAAAAGTATTTCTTAAATAAATAATTTATTTGTCAAAACTATTAAATTTGAGCAATAAATAAAGACAAATATTTTTTCAGGAAAATAAGACTTTGGCTATCTTGTAACAAATTTTAAAGGCTTTCGAATAGACACAAAATGAAAATTGAACACATCCATAAGGGTGTTAAAATTTTTTGGCTAAAACACTTTTCTCGCTCATTTTTTCTCCCCCGACCCGAAACAATTCGAAACCCCCATATCCCGACACATCCGCCCCCGATCGTTCAAGGTGCAACTCTAATTTAAAAAAATATATTTATTTAAATTTAAATATAAAAAATACATATAGGTATGTATGTATGGTTTATGCTTATTTTTATTTTGAAATTTAAATGTCTAATGTTATTTATTAATAAAAATATTGCATTCTAAAGCATGTGAATGCCCTTTTTAAAATAAAAATTTACTTAAAGTGCATTTTTATGTTTATTTCAAAATTATTTCAAAATTTTGTCTAAAATATTAACATAAATATATGTAAATTCTCTTTATTTTTAATATTTAAAAAGTTATTATTTTTTTAAATTTATTTTTAAAAATTCTCCCCAAAAAAATTAATTAAATGTCTTTAAAAAATTTTTGTTTAATTATTTATTTAATAATATTTATAATAAATAATTTAACATTTTCGGCGCCAAATGATTCTGATAATTCTTGGAATAGTGATTATTGTAATTTTTAAAAAATTAAAAAATATTTTTCTTAAAATTTAAATAAATTAAGCATTAAGTGAAGATTATACATAGTTCCTCAAATTCTTCTTCAAATGAATTAAAAAATAAAAAGGTTAGAGGAGGAGGAGGTAAAAGGAAATTGGATGATTTTACTCAAAATAATTCTAAAAATGAGAATGATTATCAAAAGTAAATTTAAAAAAATATTTTTTAAAATTACAAACAAATTAAGGTATGACAAAAAGAAATTGGATGAAATTTATGAAATTCAAAACTATTTTTTTCCAAATGAAAATTTAAAATTGAAAAGGAAAGAATATTTACATATAAACTCACAAAAAGAAATTCTGGAGTATTTTGTAAATAATAATTGGAAAATGATGGAAGCTTTGAATAATTATAAAAATAATTTCAATAAAAATTTAGATAGTATAGAGGTCTTCAAAATTGGGGACCAAAAAATAGTCTCGAGCAGACCTGGTCACGGATACTGATTTTGGTATCCGTATCCGGATATTTACGGCAGATACAGACGGATACAGGCGGATATCCGCAGGAATTTAGTATTATCTGTATCCGTATCCATGACCAGGTCTGGTCTCGAGTCTAGTTAATTTCTAGTCTTGAGTAGGGTTGTCGGTTTCAAACCGAACTGAAAAACCGAAGATTTTCGGTTCGGTTTATCGGTTCGGTTTCGGTTAACCGAAGAATTTGGTGAAACCGACAACCCTACATAGCCTTAGTCTTGAGGTAAAGTCTTGGGTCTTGGGAGTCAGTTTCTGTCTAAAGTCTTGGGAATTTTTTGGTCTCGCATGCCTATATTAAATAGTAGTAAAAACGGATTTATTTTAAATATTAGGAGCCAATACTTCAAGGCTTTTGCGTTCTTTTTTTATTTGGAGGAATAAAAGTAAATAATATTGCAACACATTTTAAAGTAAAATTTAATATTGTTAGAAAAATACTTCACAAAAGAAAAGTCAATTTAAATCAAAGGTTTTTTAAATTTTATTAAATTAATTTTTATAAGTTACTAAATATTCTAATAGAAGCCCTGGGCGTTTATCCTTCAATGGGTATCATTGAGAAGACTTCTATTGGAGCTGGGCTTCTATGAGAATATTAACTGTAATTTATTAATTTATAAAATATATGGAAAATCAACATAAGACTTTCATTTTTTCTGTTTTCGAATTTACCGTTTCGGCGTTTCTCGAATGCCATTACTGGCAGTACTTTGTTTGCTTTTGTTATTTCCTTAAAGACGCTTTCACATAAAAAGCGCCTTGAATGGAGAAACACAATTTTGTCTTTCCTTATTTTGAAAGCTATTTTTTGTCGCAAAACGCTTTTTATGTGAACTCGCCATAAGATGTAGACCCACCACCTTAGTCGTTATATCACAATCAGTGCTTCAAAATTTCAATTTTGCTCGTACTCGTACCCCGTACTACCCTTCGTTTAGGCCTCGTACTAGGTCGAGGATTCGTACCAGTACGAATTTTGGTACGAGCTTCAAAGCACTGATCACAATCCACAAATTATTTCAATTTTAAAATTAAAATTATTATTAAAATAAAATCATTTTCAGTCAAGACTTTTCAAAAATTCCTACTAAAGAAATTAAAAAAATATTAAATGAAAAAATGAAAGAAAAATGTGGTAAAGATAAATGGGAAATTAATGGAAATATTTACTATTTTAAACCTCTAGACGGGAAAAATTTTTATAAAAAATTATTTGGAATGATAAAAGAAATTAAAGAAAAAATTGAAGAAGAAAATATTTTTAATTGTTTAAATTTAATTGAAGAAAATGAAAATTATAAAAAATTAATTAATATACCTGAAAATCCGAGAGAAAAATTTGATTTGTTTTTAGAAAAATATAAAATTATTATTTGGGATTTTCAACGTGAAATGAAGGAAAGCTTTAATTGTATGTTTATTTACAGAGCTTTCCTCCGAACATAGGAAATAAAGCAAAAATAAAAACGATCAGTCGATGTTGGGAAGGTTGATAGATTATTAACCTTGCATCGAAAATCTTTCAGGATCGGGCCCATCCAATCTTTCGTTATTTTCTTGGATGGGTACACTTGTTTTACCTCCAGTTCAGAAAAGAATGGCATTAAAGTGCTGATCTAGTAGTGACTCGAGCGAATGACGAACAATTTACGTCTAATTTTAGACAATCCAGTAAAAAATCCAGCATAATTGTAGCCTTTCGGGTAGAAAAAGCTTACATGTATGTTGAAATAATTACCTTGGGTAATTACTGTTTCAACCTCTTATAACAACCAAAAGCCAGCGATAATCGAAATCCGGTTTCCTCTGGACTGATTAGGGTTGTTCAAACGAAAAATTAAAATATTTAATAAAAATTTTCTAGTATATAATAGAAATTATGTTTACAATAAAGAGGAAACTTTAAACAAAATTGGTGTATTTCTTCAATTCCGAGCATTTCTTGAATTAATTAAATCAATGTCCAAATATAATTATTTAAATATTAAAGAAGAAAATAAAAATATTGTGACAGATTTTATTAAAATTTTAGAAGAATGTAATGAAAAACCTGAAGAATGTTATTCTATTAAATTAAATAAAAAATATTTAAATGAAAAAATTGAAGAGAAAATAAAAATAAAAATTGATGAATTTGTTAAAAATTATATTTTTGAAGAATTGAAAGTTTTAGTTGGACATGCTAATAAATAATTTGAACATAAGATACGATAAAGAAATGAGAAAATTTTTATAATAAATTTTAAAAATTTTATTCTATGTATTAAATTAAATAAAAAATTGACTCCTGTTTGTCTAAAAATTTTGCTGTCTTGGGTTAAGTCCTGTACTGGGTATACTCTGTCAGAAAATTATAAGCACTCCTTAAGTTTCGGCAATAGGGGCCGTTCGAAAAATCTACAAAAATTCAGGTAAGTATATCTAGTGATGTGAATTGAAAATACAAAAGAAGCGAAGTTCTAACATAATCCCTACATCGAGATCCAGAAACCCGGAAATCAACGTAAAACCGAGGTAAAAACACACATCTTGTAGCAAATTCTTTATGAAAAATTGTATTCAAAAAAAAGTTTAATTTTCAGAATTACAAATTTAGTGAAAGGAAAAAATTGACCATTAACGGGTGTTAAAGTAAAGAAGGAAAGAATAAAATTTAAAAAAATGTCTCAGGCCTATCTTCATTCATCTTGCATCCACCCCCGATTTACTTCCTTTTCTGATGCAAATATAATTTCAGGTTTTGCAACCAAGACAAAGATTAACAAGTGCTTCAGGCATTGAGTTATGGAAATAACCCCTATCGGTTACATATGCCAGATAATTTAGAAAAAGGCAATGATTGTTTCCACAGTTGAAGCAGAATTCAACTAAATGAAACAATTCTGCATATCTTCTAGCACCAGGCAATGGTCCATAGCGATTCTGAAATAGAATATTTTAGAAAATTTGCTAGCCATTGGTCCTAATCTGCACGCACAATTTTAATCTATACTCATTTTCAATCAGTCCCATAAATGTCAGAAACTTCCATATTCACCCGGGTTATTAAGAAATATTTAGAACACCTGTAACATTTTCATCAATATATCAGAATATTTCTCTGCCTCAGTTAGTAATAAATGTCGGCCATACTGACTTAAGCCAGTTGAGGCAAAATGTGAAAAAATTATAGCGCGAAGGAGAACAAATTCTTCTTTGCTTAGTTGTAGTCTATTGAATGGTCCCATAGAATTGTCAAATAATTTTTTTACAAATTTGTTTATTCTAATTAAAAATTAAGGGTAAAATTGATAAAAAAAATAAAATTTACGTCATGTCTTCTTTGTAAAAATTTGCATTGAAAACATCTTTGATTGGATATCCATTAGGAAAAACAACAGTTTCGGATAACATTCTACTGCAATAATACCCAAAATGTAGTGCTAAAGTCGGCATGGTGATTGTTGCGATTAGACAAATCTTAATAATAACTATTAGGTATAAACATAGTTTCGAATCTAGATGTTCAATAATTCTCTAAACTGGGCCCCATCTCTAGATGGGCAATCTTTTGAAAGTTGACTTCGAAAACACAAGTAAAAATACTCCGAAGCAATACATAGCATATTAAGAGTTATTAATGCCTTTAAAACTTGTGAAAAGTTGGAAAAATATATGTAGATCTCGAGGGCTGGGTTTTTTGGGATAAAACCTTTTGGGGACGAGTTTGACTAAGTTATTCATCACCTTGTCAGGTAAATCCAATTTATCGAAAAAAGGCATGGTTCTTGCAGTATCAACAATTATAAGCAACACATCCGTAAAAGGTTTTGGTAGCTTAGAAAAGGCAATAAATCCTTCGATTGGAGGACGAACAGATTTTTGATGCATTCCAATCTTTAAATTTATAAAAATTTTGTTTTGTTTTTTTAAAATTCCAACACACATTCTCGTGTTTCATAGCAATTAAATTTTCTTTACGCTCAAGCAATGAAGCAAGAGAATTACACGAAGAATTGTAATGGCATTCATCAATCCCTGAATCTCTTGTACGGTAGACACTTTGCTCGACAGTTAGAAGATATTCAAGAAATTGTTTGTTTTGAGCAGCGATTATTGAATTTTGCTAGAATATTATAAAAATCAGAAATTCTAAGTTATTAAAATCGAAATATGTAGTATAAAATAGAGTAGGACAGGGTTCGGGTTCGTAATTATTTTGGAAGTACAGTACTTATCGACCCTTGTACTTCCAAAATTAAAATGTATAAACCGTGAGTGACCGGGATCAGAGGTGAGGATATCAGGGGATATTGAACTTTCGAAGGCCAATAAAATGGATTGCTCCAAAAACGGGCTTTGATGGTTGTTACGGTATTAAAAGGAACATCGTCTCATGCCAAAAAAGAAGTTAAATTGTGAAGAAAAGATACGTTGCCAATATTTGAAAATAAGGGGAACGTGAACAGTGAACGGCCTAATAAAACGGCCTAATAAACAAAATAAAATCTACCAAATCAACAAAATTTAACTCTTCACCAGCACAATTATTAGATTTTCCTTGAATATATTTTCCTTTACTAGCAAGTTCTCTACGTTTATTTTGAATCATTGTTTGTATTTCCAAAACCTTTTCGGGTTGTCTTCCTTTTGTTGTTTGAATATACATTCCATTTAATATGCATTTATCGAAACGGCAACTTTTGCAGACATTTATATCTTTAATTAGTTTTTTTAAATGATATTCAGTTTCCTTCTTAAATGAAAAAAATTATATATGTGGTCCGAAAAATTTATATATGGTCGTTTCAGGTATTCTCAGATCCAGCTCTCTTTGTTGTGACAAAAAAGAGATCTTTAGTGCACATCCATCGTCTTTTTAGCAGTGGCCTGCTGAAAGATCTAGTCCCTACGCCAAAGGTAGCCCCTCTTGTCACCCTGTATGTGTAAGAAAAGCTTACACTAACAAATACAGATATCCTAAAATCTCTACAGTCTAAAATACGAAAATCATTAACATTCCTTCACCCAATATACCTAAATCCATTAATTATTATAAAAATATTACTGTAAGACAGATTACAGTTCCCATCTTTTTCACATTTATATTTGTTTTTTGAAGTAATACAACGGTGAAAAAAGTGTTTACAGCCTGAAAACAATATCTATATTAATCCAAACTTCAAACATTTAAATCTACCATCACAACAAATTACTCCATAAAAGAAATATCCACTAGCCATACGTTCACAGATACTACATTCTTTTGGAGTTGGGTTAAGGTTGCGTTTAGTTTTTGTTGACAGTTTTTGAATTTTTAAATTTGCACGTCCATCCTCTTCAACTTGTTGATTTTCAACTTTAATTTCTTCATTGTTCATGCCAATATCAATTAAATCTTCCAAATTTTCAGGATTCTCATTTTCGACTATTTCATTTTTTGTTTCATTGTTAGAATTTGTAAATGACATTTGGGTAGATTGAAATTGAATTTGGTAATAAATTAAATTTAATGTCCTGCCCAAACAATTTAATTAACCATTAAATTTATTTAATAAAGATACAGTTGCCTAGCATTTAACGGTTGCCTGACAGGAATTATGAGAAGAAAAAGAGAGTCTTTTCACCTTAATAGGGTTGTTGGCTCAGAAATTCTGAGCCAAATTTCCAAGTTCCAAGAAACGACAACTCTTTTCTCAAACTAGAAAGTTCCAGGGTTCGATTCACCCCGATTGCGTAAATCCTAACTGATCGGAAATTTCTTAATAGATATTCTAATTTACTTTAGCACATCTATTAGAAGCTCTTCAATGATGTAACTATTAAAAAATAAGCATTCAGGGCTTATTTTAGGGCAATAAAGAATTCATAATAAAAATTATATGCCAAAGCTAAAGCTTAAACGTTAATTTTTTGTAATAAAGGAAATAATTTATTTTATAAATTTTTTTATTAAAAAATATAAATGTTAAATTTTAAATTGATTTGAATAAAAATAATATAAAATCATTAAAATAAAATAGTTAAATGTTTGTTCATCTTGTCAGATTTATGCTTTACGAAAATATTTAATAAAAGACATTAAATACTTTTGTGTATACAATGACGGAAAGCTATTAAAAAATATTTTCAATACTTTAAGTATTGCTTTAAATTTATATTTCGAGTTTATTCGAAGGCCTTTCAAAGTTGGTATAATGTAACAATATTTTAATTCATAAGGAAAAACAGTGGAATTTTAAAGATGTACTTAGGTAACTAATGATCACTGTTGCGGGATCGGATATTGTTTGGTCCAATCTCTAATATTACTCCCTGATATTATTCGCGCCAAACTGTCAACTCATCACATTTGAAAGGGTGTACGGAATTTTGGTCACTGGAATTTTGGTCACCAAGATTTTTCGGAACTTTGGTCACCAACTTTTTTGGAATTTTGGTCACCAGCGGAATTTTGGTCACCAAGTCAAAAAACGGAATATTGGACACTGAAATTTTGGTCACCAATAGGAATTTTGGTCACCAAACGGAAAAAAATAATCTTATCTAAAATTGATATCAAAGTGATAAAAAATTGTTTTTCAACTCCCAGCTGATCAATTTCAATGTTGATCACTCTGCCAGTTAATCAATCATCCGGGAGAGTAATCGAGAGTGATCAACCGAGAGAGCGATCAGCCGAGAAAGTTATAAACATTGAAATTGATCAGCTGGGGGTTGAAAAATCATTTTTTATCACTTTGATATCAATTTTAGATAAGATTATTTTTTCCGTTTGGTGACCAAAATTCCTATTGGTGACCAAAATTTCAGTGTCCAATATTCCGTTTTTTGACTTGGTGACCAAAATTCCAAAAAAGTTGGTGACCAAAGTTCCGAAAAATCTTGGTGACCAAAATTCTAGTGACCAAAATTCCGGCACCCATTTGAAAGAGAGGCAGAGGAGAAAAATGCAGAAAAAATTATTTTTACAGAATTACTTTCGCGGGCATATAGGCGGGACATTTAGTTACCCTAGTTACCCTTTCCACTAAGCTGGACATTTAGTTACCTTTAGCCATCTCCCTCATCTAGTAGTAATTTTTAAAGATAAACCCAAAAATTTTTTTCTTAACTAGATTTCTGCCACTGTAATACCAGCAAATTTTTTGTTTAATTACATTGTTTGTATTAACATTATACATTGAGCTTAACCCAAGAATTCTTTGCCCTTTATCGGCTATCTGCTATTATTTGCCCTTTATCGGCTATTATGTAATAACCCCTTTAGGTGATTTGGAATGGGACATTCTCGGTCCTTATTTTATTATGTTGCCTAACTTAATGGCCCTCCCTATAAATATACTGTAAATATTTCCTCAAAAGGTTTTGAAACACGGGGCTATCACAAAGCTTTCAAGCTAAGTCAAAACTTTGATCGTCCCATAATTGAATAATTGATTTTCTTTCAGGTAGGTTGAACAAAGCTTTAATCAACTTATTCAAACAAAAACTTAATCAAAGCTTTGATTTTCATTGATAGAACTTCGTTTGGGCTTGGTCTAGAATGCTAGTCCCAATACTTAATATTTAAAAATATTTTACTTTAAAATAAAAAATGAAAGAAATTTTTAGCAAAACTAAAATTCACTGTCAATTTATTAACATAAAATACTGCTCGCGATAGCTCAATAAAATTACTCACAAGCTATGAAATGCAATAATTTCTAAATTTAAACCAGGGAAAGATTAAATCTCGATAATTAATTTTTTTCTCGAGAATCAAGAAAAGTTCGTAACCTCCTAAATAAACATTAAAAAATGCAAGAAATCTTTATGTTTTTGTGTAATTTTCCCCTCACTAAATCTGTACAACTTAAAGGAATATATATGGATTTGGACTGATATCTAGGGATACAGTGGATTTACAAAAATACATAGTGGATTTACAGAGATAGTAGGTCCTAATCCGTAGATCCTTGGATATCTTAATTAATCTTAATCACTGCAAATTTTTACAGGGATTACTTAAAACAATTCACTGATGTCCTCCAAACATCCCAGAAATCTGTGTCCAACCCTAGTTATCTATTATATATGTATATTCTCCTAGTCAACTAGAATAGCCTTTTGCGCTAGCTAAAGGAAAGAAATTGCTATAGCCCAGCAGCTTTATTTAATCATGATAACATAGTGGATTATTAAAAGACAATTGAGCGGACATTGAAATTGTACAAAAGTTGGGAACATGCGATAAACTCGAAAGATTTGAAGGTTCTCTGGTATCTGAAAAAGAGTGTCTAATTACGGCTAAGTCCAAAAAAGTCCTAGTCAATAAAAATTATTAAAAATATTTCTGGAAAATAAAATTAATATAATCATTACATTTGTCAGGGTAAATAAATGTAAAAATTTGCAAAGATTTATTTTATTTTACAAAAATTTATTTTATTTTTTAAAAATTTTATTTATTTTATAATAAATAAAATTTATTTAAAAAATTTATTTTATTTTACCTTTCAAAATCAGTTGAATAAATAATAAAATATATTAAATTTCGGCAATATTTAAATAATAATCCCTCTCTCTAAATCCAATAAAGCAAAAAATAAATTTTTAAAAATTATTAAATTTACCAAGCAAAAATCAAATTAAAAATTAAAATGAATTTTAATTTAATTAAAAAAATTATTTCTTTATTTTTAATTATTTTATTTTTATCTGGCTGCATTGCCATTCTAAATGGACGATTAGGACAACCACCAGCCGTTTATTGTGAAAAGCCAGGAAGTCAAGAATGCCTAAAGTTGATTCGTTGTTCAGGCCGTCCACCAAATAGAAGCTGCTTATTCTAACGGGAAAAAATTTAAAAAAACTGGGAAGGAATTCTTTTGGGTATATTTTTAATTTTAAAATAAAACTATAAACTTTTCTTTTAATTTGAACTCTTTTCCTCCCAATGATTTAATAAAATTATGAAACATTTTTTTGATAAATGTCTATTATTTATATACTATTAATTTTTTAAATTGAATAAAATTATAATATATAGGTATACCGTAAATGCTCTAATATAAGCTCTGGGCCTTTCAATAGGCCTCCTCGTGTGGGCATATTAGAGATAGACTTCTATTAGAGCCGGGCTTATATTAGAGCATATTATTTAAGGTGTATAACCGAAAAATCTTTGAAGAATTTCATTCAATCAGTTTTTATTTATTTAGTTTTTTTTCAAAAATGTGTGCTAAAAAATTATAATTCCAATTGAAACTCAACAGCAGTTTCATAGAAAAAAATACATTTAATTAAAGAAATATACATATATAGTTGAACTTCTACAAAATCGTGTCCTTCTATTCATACATCGGCTCATTGTTTAAACCAAATTTGACTTCATTTATTATACATAGATAACAACTTTTTTCAAGTTCGAATTTTTTTTCAAATCAACTTTTTTCAAAATATACTAAATATATTTTAAGTCACATATATTTCCATGAATTTTTCCGAAAAATAAAATATTTTGAAAGAAACTTTTTTAGTTTTCCCAAGGGAACGTTTAGATAAAAATATGTTTTTAATGTTTGTATCTTTAAAAATTTTTTTTTTGATTTTTTAAAGATTTTATAAAATATTTGATAATAATTGTAGATATTATTTAAGAAAATTTAAATTTTTTGGTAAAAAATTTTTTATATTAAGTATCCAACTTTCCTCAATTAAAAATTATTGTCATACATTATTAAATTTAAGGTACTTTATGGATATGTCACCCCCCTACTATTTTGAGTCTCAGAGTTTTCCTTATGCGTAGAAAATGGTCAGAGATTATTTTCTTCTCCGTTCAATCATTTTTTTCTTCTTCAAGTATTTTGCTTTTTTATTTTGCCTTTTCACGTATATTTTTGAATTTTGTACTTATTTTTCACTCATTTCGTTTCCACATTTCACTTATTTTGATTGAAGAAAAAAAATGATTGACATGGAGAAGAAAATAATCTCTGACCATTTTCTACGCATAAGGAAAACTCTGAGACTCAAAATAGGAGGGGGGTGATATATCCATAAAGTACCAAATTTAAATATATTTAATCTTGCTTAAATAATTTTTTAAAAAATAGTTAAATTTATTATTTATAAAATTTAAAAAATTTTTTGAGCAATTTTATTAAAATATAACACAAATTTTAACACAAAAATTTAAAATATATAATTATCAATCATTTATTCTCTCTCCATTTTTTTTATTTTTTGTTGGTCCATCAAATAATTCCCAAAAGGGGATTCGCTTTGACTTTTTGTTTTTAAAGACTTTAAATTTTTAGATTATTTTTAAAGATTTTGAAGGATATTGAAGAAGATCCTAGCCTAGTTAATAAGACAAAAATAGAAACAATCATGCGGTATTGGGATGATCGAGGATCGATTTTCTGGCTCTTGTAAGATCCTTGGATATTCAGAATCGAAATGAAGAATCGGGCTGGAAAATCCTCCGTTTTTTTGGTTCTGTCTATTTAAAAGCAACCCTATATCGGTGATCTCTCGGAATC